TTATTTTGTCAAACATACCGCCGTTTGTTAAAAACGAAAAATTAGAACAAATACTTCAGAGGTATGGTAAACTAGTGAGTACTATTAAAATGATCCCTCTTGGATGTAAAAACCCAGAGATTAGACATGTGATGTCTTTCCGGCGTCAGGTTTTAATGATTTTAAACTCTCATAGTGATCCATTAAATCTGTCAGTGAAATTAAGCATCGATGGCAAAGATTACACTGTTTTTATTAGTTCAGAATCGATGAAATGCTTTGTTTGTGGTGAGTTTGGACATGTCAGACAAACTTGCCCGAGGCGAGACAGGCCAGCTCCGGCTGCAGGTGCGGAGAACAGCGAGAGGGCGGCCGGCGCAGATGTTGCTGCGACCCCTGTGGCGTCAGAACCGCAGCCGGACGGAGCGCTCTCTGCGCCCGGTGACTTGGCCGAGGGGAGACCGGTGCTGGAGGCCTCTGGAGATGGCCTGGCGGAGGCTGTTGAGGAGGAGGCCGGCCTGAGTTATGTTCCAGCTGTAACGCAGGCAGAAACGAGCCCTGGACAGGTGTGTTTGGCAATGTCTGAAAATGATTTGAATTTTGAAGGAAAACAAACGAAGCCTGGTGGAATTGAGAACGATACAATTAACGTTACTGATGATTCATTAAAATCGAGTAAAGATGACTCTTTATCTCAAGAATCTGTGGATTTAATGGATGACTCTGACAACGAACAGAGATACAGAGATAATGGGAAATGACGCGGAGTTCGTCTCTGGAGGTAAGACAAAATTTTACTCTCTTCAACAGATTAATCACTTTTTGGATACAACGAAAGGACACCGTAAACCGAAAATTGAGTTTTATTTTCCAGACACAAAATTGTTTTTGTTGTCAGGTACCTTGGCGATGAGAAAAGCTTCCTTGGAAGAGCTTGACAAACCCAAACGGTACCGTCTTAAAGGGATACTCCACCAGTTTTTCTTATTAAACTATGTTATTCCCTTAACTAAGACGAGTTGATACATACCTCTCTCGTCTCAGTGCGTGCACTATATCGCTCTGTATTGCCGCAAAACTATGTTAGCACTTAGCTTAGCCCATGCATTAAATATGGGCCAAGCAGAGAAGCGACCAAACACTTCCACGTTTTCCCTATGTAAACACAGTTACTCGAGTAGTGTAACTTGACCTGGGCTGGTGACACAAAATAAACCGTTGCGCTTTTCTAAGCGTTTAAAATTGATGACTATATTGTATGGCGGAATACCATAACAAGTGCTTTTGAGCAGTTCGACTTGGCGCAATAATATCTTCACTAGTGAAAAGTCCTCTTACCGGCTCCCGCTTCCTCTCCTCCTCCCTCTGACATTTCCGTCAATACAACCAACGTGGCTTTTACTACCTGTGCTATTAGCAAACTGCAGATCATTTGCAATGGCGGACTTTGTAGATGATTATGACTTCTTTGTAGAAGACCCAGAGCCATATCTGTTTGAACCCGAGTACACGGAGGAGGAATTAGCTCTTATGGACCGTGAGAGGAAAGAAAGATATGATCCAGAACAGACCGGAGCTGGCGAAAGACCACGGGCAAACAGCAATTGGTGGTGCAAGTGTGACTGTTGCGAACAGATGCCGACCGAAATTGAGAGCCTGTGCTGTTTAGAATGCTAACTAGCTTCCAACAACCTGTTACTTCGTCAACTCCGCTCGAACTACTACTACCGGCGCATGTCACGTTGGTTGTATTGACGGAAATGAGAGGGAGGGGGAGAGGAAGCGGGAGCCGGGACTTTTCACGAGTGAAGATATTATTGCGCCAAGTCGAACTGCTCAAAAGCACTTGTTATGGTATTCCGCCATACAATATAGTCATCAATTTTAAACGCTTAGAAAAGCGCAACGGTTTATTTTGTGTCACCAGCCCAGGTCAAGTTACACTACTCGAGTAACTGTGTTTACATAGGGAAAACGTGGAAGTGTTTGGTCGCTTCTCTGCTTGGCCCATATTTAATGCATGGGCTAAGCTAAGTGCTAACATAGTTTTGCGGCAATACAGAGCGATATAGTGCACGCACTGAGACGAGAGAGGTATGTATCAACTCGTCTTAGTTAAGGGAATAACATAGTTTAATAAGAAAAACTGGTGGAGTATCCCTTTAAGAAGCTTCTTAGCAATGTTAGAAGTTCTTTGAACTTACTAGGTAAAAAATGAATATGTTTTGGTTATCTAAAAACTCTTGTCGATTAGTTGTATTGTGTGTTTTTCTCTTACTTATTTTCATGGCACCTTTGAGGATTAGTTCATTGAACGTTAATGGGTGTCGTGATGCTATGAAAAGGGCTAGTCTTTTTGATTATATAATGATGAAAAGCGCTAGTGTGGTGTTTCTGCAGGAAACGCACACAGATGAGAACAATCAGATACAGTGGCAGAGTGAATGGAAGGGTCAGGCTATTTTGAGTCATGGCTCTAGTGTCAGTGCAGGGGTGGCTATACTGCTGACACCTGAATATAAAGAGCAACCTGTTAGTGTGTTTGAACTCATTTCTGGTCGTTTACTGAGAGTTGATGTAACTGTTCAGGGTAATAATTGCTCTTTTGTCAATGCATATGCACCCAATATTGGGTCAGAACGTGTTAATTTTTTTAAAAAACTTAAAACTGCTCTAAGTGACGTCTCTCATGATAGGACCATTGTTCTGGCAGGAGATTTTAACTGCACTTTAAGTCATACTTTAGATAGGAATCATGAAGAGCCCCACAGTCAATCTGCAGGCGTGCTTTGGTCTTTAATTGTTTACCACAATCTTGTAGACGTTTGGAGAGAATCATTTCCTCAGATTAGGCAATACACCTGGGTGAAAGTAAATTCTAATATGGTATCTGGGGCTAGGTTGGACAGGATCTATGTACAAAAAAGCAAAAGAGATCATTTCTATAATAGCTGTATATTTCCTAATGCTTTGTCTGATCACCATTTTTTATCTATTAATTTCTTTACTGCAGAGAGCACGTGTAAGAATTTTTTTTGGACTTTTAATAGCAGATTATTATTAGATCAAAATGTTGTGCACTCTTTCACTTATTTCTGGGAGATCTGGAGAGAGAGTAAAACACAGTATAAGTCCCTGAGCCAGTGGTGGGATATTGGCAAAACTCAAATTAAATTGTTTTGCCAGAGTTACTCTGCTTACAATAAAAGTTTTCTGGACAAGAAGATGGAACAGCTTGAACAGGAAATACTTTCACTTAATTTTGAAGGGGACAGTGACACTGAGTCTTTGAAACAGAATAAATTTCTTTTGCGGAATTTACTGGAGGAAAGAGCCCAGGAGCCATGTTTCTTGTACACATATTATGTCAGGTCTTTTATTCAAATCAGAGATGAATTTTTTTAACTCTTGCCCATTAGCTATTAAGCTTCTCCCATTCCACTGAAATATTAAAAGCATTATTATGAACCACCACATCCTGTTTGAGTATTTGTTGTTTGCATCTTTAACTTCTCATTAATCATTTCCACCGTAATATATTCCATCTCTAGATATTTTTCAGCAGCTTTGATTATTATTCTGATTCTTTCTGTCCGGCTTTCAGTTTGCGCTGAACAATTCACTACTTCAGCTATAAAAGTTACAAATGCTACATTGTTCTTAATCATCAAGTTCTCTGTATTTTTTTCCTGTGCCTTTTCCGGTGCCTTTTCCGTCTTTGGTTGTGTTTTTTCAATTACAACACTTGGGATTAACCCCTTGCCCACATTTGCCATACTCATGCTCTCCACCGCATCTCGCACACCTCTGTTTACCTCTGCATACAGCCGCTACATGTCCGAACTTTTGACATTTGTAACATCTTAGAGGAGGGGGTACATACGGCCTAACCGAGAAGCCTATGAATCCTAAAAAGACTTTACTTGGTAACTTATCCTCATCAAAGTGAATCATCACAGAAAGGCTATCCCCCTTTTCATTGCATTTAAGTCTTTTCACCTCAATTACTCAGCCTCCCGTAAGACCTTTCTTAATCTTTTTAACTGTCACATCAGTAGGGTTCCCTGTAATAACCCCTTTTATCCATTTTTTTTTTCTTCTGGTACTGAACAAATCACACCTTGCCCCATGACTGATTTAAATTTTTTATTATTATTATTTATTTATTTATTTATTTAATATGGACATAGCAATAACATTGGACGAACCCGATGCATTGTTTAAAGTGTTATAGCACATGTGCTAATTTTCAACACCTGTCCATAGAGGCTTTTACAACAATTTCTAGAGCCTTTTTTTGTTGCCTACTGTCTTAACAAAACATTGGCAATCTACCATCCCTCAACTTTTTAACACTTTCAACCAGTCCTATCATTTCCTTAATCGCTTTAGATAACTTCAGCGGATCAATATTACTGAAAGACCCAGCAACAAATTTCATCAATACCTTAAACTCTTCTTTTCTTCTCCTTTTCATATGCAATCCATTTTCACTGTCAGTTTCAGATGCATTACTCCTGTTTTTCTTTCTTTTCCGATTTTCTACTATACTCCATCCATTATTTCCATTCCCTCCATCATCCGCGGCAACATTTTTATCCTCCATTTCCGGATCACTTCCGGATTCTACGCAACTTCCCACCATGCACACTCCAGTCACAGATCAGCTGTTGCCATCCCCTGAGCAGAGATTCCTCTCCCCATAGTTGACTGTTTTCTTCAGTTGCACTACCAAGGACTGAAAGGCTTCAGGAAAAGCTTGTTTCATGCTGAGCTAATCAAAATGACCACAGCTGAGAGTTGTAAATACAGCTGAATAAAACAAAAATTGTTTTTGTCCGTTTTCGTTTCAGGCTGTAAAGCAACAAAATGTGATTATTTTAAAGGGGGGTGATTCTTTTCTATACCCACTGTATATGTCAATAGTCAGCACTTTTCGCATCCTAACAGGATATCACATGTTCTTGACCACAGTGGTCTAAAAGCAAAAGCTCTAAAGCAGAAGTTCAGAATAATAGTGATTTACACTTGAAGAAATAGCTATTAATAATCTCTTAACACCAGCAGATTGAATGTCTTATTACGGCAAAATGAAAACTCCCAGGAAACATGGGATGGACAGAGAAAATGAAGAAGAGATGAATATCTATGATACTGATCCTATAAATAGTTTTGATGTCGGGGGAGAAACAGAGAACTCGGACACCAAGAGACACCAAACTCCTCAACACACAGGTACTGAGATTCATTTTACCTTATCACACACATTTGAGTAATACGAGTAATTAATATCTTCATATCTGTGGTGTTCAGGAAGTGTTTGTGTGAAGATCAGAAGCTCCAAAACAGTGTGTTTGGTTCTGCTGTGTGTTCTTCTGCTGACTGCAGTCATAGTGCTGTGTGTCCACATCCACACAAAGAGCAAAAACTACACAGAAGAGAGAGATGGGCTAAACAACATTACCAATCTCACAGAAGAGAGAGATGGGCTACTAAACAACATTACCAATCTCACAGAAGAGAGAGATGGGCTAATAATAAAGAACAAAAACCTGACCAATGAGAGAGACCAGCTAAGAAATCATATTCAGAGTCATGGTAAAGTTTCTTTAATCTATGTAGTTATTTTCTAAACAGCAGACACTGTTAAAGCATGATGGAGTTGGGTTGTGCTCTCAGTAACTTTCAGTGTTATATTCTGTGAGTTTACTATCTGTTAAGTTACTGACAGGTGAGTGTAAATGGGAATAAAAAGCTAACCGCTAAACTGCTTGTTTACAGATGGATGGACTTACTATAAATCCAGTTTGTACTACATGCCGAGTGAGACGAAGAGCTGGACTGAGAGCAGAAGATACTGTAGAGAGAGAGGAGCAGATCTGATCATCATAAACAATACAGAGAAACAAGTGAGTGTGAGAGAGAGAGTGTGTGTGTGTGTGTGTGTGTGTGTGTGTGTGTGTGTGTGTTTGTTTATGTCCCTTTTGGGTACATTCACCAGGATACACACCAGTAAACTGAGGACCACCTCAAAAATTGAGGACATTTTGTATGTCCTCATTTGTTTGACTATATAATGGCATTCAGCATACTCTAAAATGGTGTCCAGACTTAAAATCTCACTTGTCCCAAAAAATCAGTTTTAAGTGATTTGTGTATGTGAAGTGTGTATGCCCCCCCACTAAAGTGTGTATAACACAGCGCCCTCTAGGAGTACTGCACTTCCGGAAAAGATACACACTTCGGGGATTCTGACCAATCAGAGCGCAGGAAGCCACTATGAGAGCGGGACTTAATGATCTGACCAATCTGAGGCCATCACGTCATCAACAAAAATGGCGGAGCGGAGGCGATATCATTATTATGAATGAATTGACAGATAATCCACATTCAATAATAGATAAATTCGCAATAATTATTATTTAAATAAAAATAGACTAATTTACCCTGAGCAGCAGGAGCTCTCACGATGTATATGGGCATGTTATTAAACTTTAATCCTCGCAGTTTTGCTCTCGCATCGGAGTCTGCTCTGTGTAACGTTATGTGTGTGTGAAGATCGCGCTGCTGCGCGTCACCGAGACTATACAGCTGTACAGTAACTTACATAGGAGTTTATTAATCATGTAGGAACGAGTTTGAAGCGGGGAAGAGACAGAGACATTACGTCATGTGAATTTACAAAGTACATATTTTCTTCCAAAAGCGGAGGAACAGCTGTTTAAATCTGTCAATATGGATGTGATGATTTATTCATCCAAGTTTGTTTAATAAAAACACACAAGCCACCAAAAGATGTGAAAACATGCTAAATCGCTTGCTTTTATGAGTGATTTTATTTGTTTGAAGTGTTTTCTCCTACTTTGCGTTCTGCCGTTTCCTCTCATAATATCAGTGATTTCCCTGAGTGGCCACCGCCCCTCCCCCACCCCCCGCACGAGCAGGACAGGACTCCGTTACCAGTTACCACAGCAACACATTCACTACAGCAAACAAGCTAACTTTTTTCTTTATATATTATATTATATTATACTATATTATATTATATTGAGGAGAGCAGTTACAGCAAACATTATTCTTATTATATTATATTGCATTGTATTATTTTATATTATATAAAGAGGAGAGCAGTTACAGCAAACATTCTCTTTGTAGTATATATTATATTATTTTATATTATATTATATAGAGGAGAGCAGCTGCATGAAACATTCTCATATTATATTATTATATTAATTAAATGTTTACACTAATTACATACGTTTTTTTAAGGCGCTTTGGTGCATTTCTCAAATCACAACTAAAATTCTTGTTCAACCTCCACATCATCTAGTCACTTGTGCACATCATGAAAGCAGTTTATCATTCTTTTGAACAAATTGCAAATGCTTTGGTACATTCATGCAATAAATGTAAGTGTCTGCTGTTTCTTACATTATCAATTGCTTATGTCATGTTGATCAAAATGTATTATACTGGTTCTCTGTTGAATAGTCTTACCCCTCAAAACATATAGGCATTAAATTACTAGTTGTCATAAACTGTCAAACATATTTTCTATACAATTCTATTATACTTTTTTTGTCCTGAATTGCAGATGTGAATTTTGAATTTCACTAATGAAGGGGAATGTAAAGCATTAGATCAATCAATGATCACCAGTTCTCTATAATCGCTCAGAGTGCATCTCATGAAGCTTCCTCTGGAAGCCATATAGACAGAGCACAACACATACACACTCTGAGAATGGAAGAACAACAGGGTAACAGCCGAGAAGAAGAAGAGGAGGAGTAAGGATGTGTGGTGGAAGGATACAGAGGTAAAACAGAGAGATTGTAGGTTTCTGAAGAAATAGGGGCCAATATTGTAGATCATGTTCATGACCTCATGGCCGAGGCGGGTTGAAAGCTGAGCTGAATGTTGGGAGAACAACCGTGTGTGTCCTCAAACATTCAAGTCTTTATAGACAGAACATGCGTGTAATCAGACAGTGTTCACTATACTGTACTGTTCACCATAAGCTGTAGACTTACTGTATTACAGTGGAGTCTACTTGCATTTTACATGAGACAGTAAAAATACGTGATAGAGATCCCTTTCCCACTAATTAGATATCTTAAATGATGTTGTGTGCACTTCTGTATTTGTCTTCATTGTTGTACAGCCTTGATGTTAATATTTTGTTGAAAAATTGTTAAGACCCCAGGAAGAATAGCTGCTGCTTAATGGAGTAGCTAATGGGGATCTAAATAATAAACAATAAACAATAAACTCTACAGATAAAGCGTTGTGAATCTAGTTTCGCGTACCTACCCCGAAGTGATAAAATAAAACAAAATTATGTATCAAATTTATAGACAAGTAATTTGTTCAGGCATGGTTTTCTAGGGAAATACAAACCTACGCACATATATTCAAACGCACATAACTATAGAATCAATTCTTAATGCGCATGTGAACGCCATCAGCGTTAATCACAGGTTCACGTTTAAAGTCTGTTTAGAGACATTCATATACATTTTTACCTTGCAGTTACTGTAAATCCGGCCTCTAGTTCATAAACGCCAGAGGAGAACTGGCCCCCACTGAGCCTGGGTTCTCCCAAGGTTTTTTTCTTCTCCATTGGGTCCCTGATGGAGTTTTAGGACACCATCGGGTCACTTGATGGAGTTTTTCGGTTCCTTGCCACTGTTGCCTTTGGCTTGCTCAGTTGGGGATATTCAAATTAATTAACCAATCATTAATACCATTGATCAGCTCTACCAAACGTGGATGTTTTTCCACTAAGAAACGAACATTGTTATTATGTTTTGATTGATACTGTGAAGCTGCTTTGATGCAATCTATATTGTGAAAAGCGCTATATAAATATACTTGATAGAGACATAATGTAACACACACACATATACAGTATGTGTTTGAATAGTCTGTTCATCGCAATGGCATTGTCATTTTTTAACAGACCAACAGTGTATCTGTGAGTCCAGTCTCATAATGGGTACATGTGTTTATGTGTCATACAGATAATGTGCAGTCTTTTCATTGTCATCAAAATCGTAGCCAGTGTTTACTTCTCAAAATACTGATACAGTTATATTGACAACCATCAAAAGCCTGTAACTTGTTAAAAATCCTTAGTACAATATATATCAATGAACATATCAGTGCCTTGTGTCACAAACAAGAATGTCAAAATGCTGTCATGTAATCCTATTGTGTTCTGCTGTTTGTACGAAATGCACTTTCCTTGTTTGCAAATCTTAAGGATGATTCAAGAAATGTACCAAAGCGACTGATAAGAACTGTTTATAGAGGAGAGCAGTTACAGCATACATTCACTCTCTCTCTCTCTATCTATCTATCTCTCAATATATATATATATAGCCTATATATATATATATATATATATATATATATATATATATATATATATAATCGATAGATAGATAGATAGAGAGAGAGAGAGAGAGAGAGAGAGAGAGAGAGAGAGGGGGGGGGGGGGGGCAGAGCAGTTACATATAGTCATACAAAAGAAAAAAAGTGTTTAAAAGAATCATGAATCAAGCTGACACGTTTAAATGTTTGTTTACATAATTATTTTGTACTTAATTTGATTTTAAAAGCCATTGGATCTGCACTAACCCTAACCCTAACCCTAGCTCTGCCTGTGACTGTCAGTCTGACTGAGATCTGCTCACACTGTGATCAGCCGCCCTTCCCCCACAGCACTGAGACTGATCGCGCGCGCGCCCTTCCCCCACAGCACTGAGAGAGACTGATCGCGCGCGCGCCCTTCCCCCACAGCACTGAGACTGACTGGAGTGACAGAGAGTTGAACTTGTCTCTGGCTGAACTAACAGACTGACAGTTACAGGTAGATAGCTAAGCAGAAGTGCTGCTCAAAAGATCACAAACTGTCGTGGCTATGCGTTTTTAAAGCACTTTTACAAGGTCTATTAGCTTCTCCGCCCTGTAATGTAAAATACCATTAATTTATGAAAGAAATACAAAGAAGATAATGCTGTTAAAGTACTTGTTAAAGTTTAATTTAGAGCCTCGAAATAATCCACACCCATCCCCCATCTTAACTCGAATAAATTGACAACAACACAGACTCCAAAAGTAGAGACATATTATACCAGCTTGAATATCAGCCCTGCTGTGTATTTGCATACATCAGTTTACTATTTTGATTAATAAATGCTATTAGTAGAAAATAAGATGTCTGTTCAAGATATCTAGGTTGCTCATTTTGCATTTTTTGCTCTTTTAAACCTGTGCTTGTTCGGACATGCGCACTGGTTCCTAGTTCGAGTCGGGTGAGTTCGTTTACAAGTGATCATGTGCTCTGTCCACTAGAAAGACTTGATCCACGACAGTTTTTTTTTTTTTGAAGAAGAAGAAGAAACACTACTGCGATTAAAAAAAAAAAGATTCTTGTCATCAGAGAGTTTTCTATTCGGTCAAATAAATAGTCACAATTGCAACGTGAAATCCAAATACGTAACTACGTCATTTACGCACGTCTGCGACAGTGGATGTATTTTCCCGGGAAATGCAGACACGTGACAATGGGACGCGAAACAGTCAGACGACAGCCCTCCACCCTCCACCACGCAGGAAAGGTGAGATGAAGTCTTGTCCTGAAAATGCATGATAACTAAATACATTGTGAAATATGAAAGTTAGTAAGATGTATGTTTATTTTAGTGGTTTAATTATTTTTTGCTTAGGGTTTTATTTACTTCTCGATTGTATTTTATTTGTTTCTCATTTGATAATTTGTTGCAATAAGGAAAAAAGTATATTGCCTACTTGTAGGCATTGACCAGTAAATATAATTTTGTTATTTCTTATATAATAGTACTTTAGATTCTACAAATTAAAAAAAAAACGAGTCAGTGATAGCCTAC